TAAATACCTGGGGCTAATTCTGGTTCTATGAAACTGTGAGGTGAAGTGTTATGTTATTGTGAGTTTAAGACAATGATATTGTATATTACAAGATGATGGTTTTGAGAAAAACGCCCAACTCTTCTTTTTCACAGCCGAAAAACTTTGCAAAAAAAGTTTTCACAGTGAAAAATTTGTGACAAATTAATATTTTTACATTTGAAAACAGCATGGTAATTTAATGTGAAGTGATGAAAAATGTTTTCACTTCACGTTTTTACAGAACTGTACCAAAAAAATTAAATGATCAAAATATCAAAAAAATATGTCTTAAAAAAAAAATTTTAATTATAAAATAGATGATAATAAAAAACCTGAATTAAAAAAATACTTTAAATAAAAAAAAAAAATAAAAAAATACTCCCTGCCTGAGGACTTGGAGCTCGGACTTCAGAAACGGTACGCTAGTGTTCTACTTTGTCGGACATTGCGACTGTTGAAGCGCTGTGAGCAAAATGAGATACTTATACGTTTCACGGGCGATGAATGGGCAAACTATCCCGTCAACTGGTACGATGCTACTAGTATTTATACTGGTAGATGCTTATGCATGACAAGACAATTGATATCTCGTAGGAAACCGCCATGCTGAAATTCGATATTATAATTGCCATTCGTACTAAATAGTTGGGCTGAAACGCTAATTGGTATCATTCTAATTCACAACGAGTAGCTTTCCCTGCAGGGTAACTACAAAAGTATGTACATATGTACATATGTACGCCTTCAATATGCAGACTGATTTACTTGCCAGCATTATGCTTGGTTGGGTACACAGCCTATTTGCTCTACCTTGCTTTCTTCAATGCTTGTCGTTTGCAATGTCTTGTACTATTTTACAATACGAGTAGATACCTTGCAGCAATAAGGCGGCCAATTTTCCGTAAAGGACTAGTATATTTCACTGGTTAAAATTTGACTGGTCAGAATTGGACATTTGCTTGCATCGAAAATGTCAGCCTTCGACCAGTCCCCAAGGAATCGGTCTAGAGATAGACGAAAAGTCCAGTTTGGCAGTGACAGGGTGGTATTGTCTTGCAATTCCATAAAATAATAAAATTTAAAGAACATCACCCTATAATGCCCCAATCGCTTCGTCTGGCCTTGATTCAAAGTGAACATTTGAACACACATTTACATGTGTGGCTGTAGCTCAGTGCGCAGAGATGCTTGCCACTATGTTGGTTATGTTAGCTTACAGGAAGGTCCGGGTTCAAATGCCGCCAGAAGCAACATAACATGGCTGTAAAATAATAAAATACTTTTTTTTTGTGTTTCTGAAATATGGAAAAGCATCTGTGAAGTGCAGAACGTAATCGTGTTCCAACGATAAAAAAAATCGCCTAAATTGTACTAGTCCAGGACTAACTTACGTTCACTGTTGAGTAGACCGGTTCTATTCCAATGACACGCCATTGCTAAAAATGCCAGTTGAAACCATTGNTACTGTTCTATTCCAATGACACGCCATTGCTAAAAATGCCAGTTGAAACCATTGGCAGGCGAATTATGAGGGACTAGTGCTGGTAACAATAGGGCCCATCTGAGGGCTAACCTAGGGTGAGTCTGAATTGCTGCAGGGTAGGTATGTATATACATACAAAATATATATGTATATATGTATGTACATATATACAAATGTACACTGGAATTGCAGTAGGCTGTATTGTTGGTATGCTATGTCATTTGCTAGATATTATTGGTAAGATAAGCAGTTTGCATTTGTACCTTTATTTAGGGCGTATGTATGTATGTATGTAATGTGATATATTCTTCTACAATATTTCTAAACCTACATAAATAGATAGAAGTACAAAAATGTCAAATTGGCAAGTTTCTTTCAGACAGCCATTGGGCAAGTGGATTTGTCGTAATGGAAATGATAATTTATTTTCGATTTGAGCTTAAGATCTAATTTTTTATTGAAGTGTTATTCGATCTATGGCGCAGAAATGTAACCTAAATTTTAAAAGTAAGTGTTCTTACACTATACTCGCGCTGTGCAAAGGACAATTATTATTAGTTTTTTATATATTACTCTTCAGACAAAACGCCACACTTCTGCTTACCGGGTTATATTCTATCTTGATTTTGAAGGTGTTTTTATTTAATGAATTGTGATTAATTGGTTAATATNTGGGTTATATTCTATCTTGATTTTGAAGGTGTTTTTATTTAATGAATTGTGATGAATTGGTTAATATTAAAGTCGTAAAGCAAGTTATAACTAATCAAGTAAAGTGTACAGTGAAGGGGAATACAAAAATGTATTGGTGAAGTGGCTGATTTAAGAGAAATAGGAGTGATAAATGTACGCTAATTTCCGAATTTTACAAAAAAGGGCATATTTCAAACCCAATTTGTAAATAAATTAGTGACCAAAATTTACAAATGTGAGTGTTAAAATATTGCGTACACCCTTGACTACAAGTGTGTGAAATTTTTTTTTGGATCGGGCCACCCCTTTGGACGGAATAGCCCGAAATAGTTGTGAGCGCTACTAAACCCCACCCATTCCATATGCTATGGTCTAGAAATGAGAAGGTCTGGTTCTTTGTATATTTACATTTTGGAATTCAGGGTAAATTATTATTTAGTCAATTAATTAATTTTCACTGAGATCATTATTTGTAATATTATAGCGCAGTACATTTTCGTATCAAAATATTTCGGCTCCTGTTCCACAAAGAATATTCAAAATGGGTTTGTGATTATTTAAATCTAAAACATATATTAAATGATATTTAATATTTGCTTTAGAGATGAAGTTGCGACAAATTCGTTTAAACAAAAATGTTAAGCGTATATGCAGAACGTGAAAGCCAGCTTCTTCTGCTTACGTTTATATGTTTATATCATTTATCAGTTTAAGCACATACGACCAAAAGACAAAAAAAAAATATTTTTAATTGCGGATCCGAAAGAAATATATATTAGTTGCACTGAGTTACGCAAAAATAGTGCCGAAAATCAATCGATTGTGCTTAAGGTGCCGGCTCCTTCCGAATGGGCCGAAAATGGCACAATGCACACTCATTTTCCATCACTGCAGCACACAGCCTTAAGGATAAAAATATTAAGTGACGGTTGGTTTAGCAGTGAAACCAGATCAACCCGGGGTATTGTAGCGAAAGCTCCCGTACAGCACACTCTGATCGTTCTGTGAATGTTTGGAAAGCAGATTTCCGACATTACTAATTGAGTTTGCTCCACCACAACACGGATGTCCGGCTGTTTATGAGGCTGATCATAGAGGTGTAAGTCCGCTGAATTCCTCTATGTGAGAGACCCCACGTTTTATCAAAGACCCGTTTATATTGCCAGGACGCTGTTAAGGCCTTGGGCGTGTTTTACTCAACTTCCGACTTTAACAAAATTTTACTATCTATGCAAAGTCTGGGCCTAGTAAGCGCTTCATAGTGCTCTGCTGTTTCTCGAAAAAAGACTTGATCCCCTACATATTTGGGCATCGGGATTATCATGAANGGGGTATTGTAGGGAAAGCTCCCGTACAGCACACTCTGATCGTTCTGTGAATGTTTGGAAAGCAGATTTCCGACATTACTAATTGAGTTTGCCCCACCACAACACGGATGTCCGGCTGTTTATGAGGCTGATCATAGAGGTGTAAGTCCGCTGAATTCCTCTATGTGAGAGACCCCACGTTTTATCAAAGACCCGTTTATATTGCCAGGACGCTGTTAAGGCCTTGGGCGTGTTTTACTCAACTTCCGACTTTAACAAAATTTTACTATCTATGCAAAGTCTGGGCCTAGTAAGCGCTTCATAGTGCTCTGCTGTTTCTCGAAAAAAGACTTGATCCCCTACATATTTGGGCATCGGGATTATCATGAACTTCATGACAAGCTTTCTGCATACCAAACATTGAATGGAATATCGCTACCACCCATATTGTCGGCTTAGAAGCGGCAGCTCCTGTTTAATAAAATAGTTTATTCATGCCGGCATCAGAGCAGGAACTCACTCTGTGAATGACAGTCACGTCCAAGCACATACAGTTGCGACGCCCGCATCATATGTGCATACATACAGTGCCGGCTTTAGGGCGGAGCGAGGGAGGATAGCCAAATTGATGGGGCGCAAAATTCTGGGATGGCGTTTAATTTTTTTATTGCATACAATTTTCGAATGTGAATTTTCTTCATCGACGGATGGAGAAATGACTAATCTTCTACTCGAAGCTCTTGAAAACAACAACACAAATATCAGTTATTTACAAAATATACTATATGCTATATACTACTATACTATATGCAAGAGTACAATTTGTACAATGAGGATGGCATTCCGTGAACTTGGTGAATGGAGATTCTGCCTCCTCATCCAGAACATGCATCATGCTTTTTGGTGTACTTCAGCGCATCTACTTTCCATTCTGAACATCTACCCAGAGGTGGACCATTTTAGAAAATCATGTAAAAAATCTCACCCTCAAAACCATTATGTACAGCTCTTTGGGAAAACAGACTTGACATGGATAAAGTCATTAAATATCAGGCGAAAGAAATTTAGGAAGCCCTAATGGAGATTTCCTTTTCCTCTGATCTGAAAAATCCTTCCGTCCAACATAAAGCCAAATGCTTGGCTGCCAAAATGATGCGATTTGAATTTCCCATCTGCCTGGCTGTTTGGCATGACCCCCATTCCAGTTCAATCTCATGAGTAAATCAATGCAGAGTCCAACCATTGACATCGCTGCAGCCACTGCAGCTAGGATCTATTATGTCCCAAGAAAAATTAAACGCTTTAGCTATATTAAATATCTATCGAAATCATGATTGTTACGCATATTGGCTTGTCCAAAGCCATCGAAAAATTTGCTCAAGCCAAAGCGTGTAGGTAAATTTGTTGTTATTGATGTCTGAAGATTTTGATTATAGTAGAGACTGGAATTTTTTATCTGTACTATTTTTGCAATTGACTATCGTATAACTCAAGATTCATAAAAAAGAGATTTCGCTTTGCGCAGGTCCGTTACTTTTTGCTTTACGATATTGCGATCAGCTGTTCGAGTGATGACGTCACTTTATCAAAGTTTCTTGAAAATTACAACGCGAGTGTTTTGATTGTTTCAGTGTTTTATTTATTTATTGCGAATATTTCATAGTGCGTTTATATTTCTGTGTATGGACCAAGATTCATAAAAATCTTGTCAAATTAAAAATCATATGAATCTTGTGTATGGACAATAAAAATGAAGTGCGCGGTACTAAATTGCCACACTGACTACAAAGTTAAGGCATCAGAGTGCAGCCTGTTTTCTTTCCCAGTGAACCCCGTGCTGAGGAAAGAATGGATTCAATTTTGCCGGCAAAACAAGGACTATAATTTTAGCACAGCCTACATATGTATGGAGCATTTTGTTAGAGAGGACTTCGAAAATATCGTCCAGTTTGAAATGGGTGAGTATTCTTAATTTAAGTGGAAATTGTGTCTGTAATTATGAAAGTGCTGTTTCATCAATATTTAGGTTTTGCAAAGAAACGAATTCTTAAACGGGAAGCCGTACCATCAATTTATAAGCCATCCGATGCTAATCCGGAGCGTTCGCAGCGAGTTCAACGCCGCCGAAACAAAGAAATTGTCGATGAGCTCCTGCGACAGAGTGAAGAGTCTACATCACATGAAGGTGGAATTTGCTCCAAGTTTAAAATATCTTTCTTTCTAAAACATATTTACATATGTAAT